CCCCAAAACCCCAAAACCCCAAAACCCCAAAACCCCTTTCTTTAACACGATATTTGAAAAATTGGAGATTAGACCAATATCTGATCTGATATGCAAAATTGGAGATATTCTAATCTATTCAAGAAAATTTGGATTACATTTTTAAAGATAATTAGATTACTTAAGCAGACTCTTTAATGAGATCTTCAGCGGTCTTCTTTGGGAAGACACCAAGTCTCTGTTCCTCCTGGTCATGGATGATGCTCAAGTCTCTAAGGAAAGAATCTCCCAATAAAGCTCCTGGAAGATTGATTTCGAAGAGCAAGAAGAAGCAGTATTCTGGCTTATCTTCTGGCAAGAGGACAACGAATTCGTCAGATGGAACACTGATTTCATGTCCGTTGAAGGTAAGGTCAAGAGAGTCAATTTGAGAAGCATCGCTACAGTCTCCAACTCCGTAGAATCCATCAGAAGTCTTGACAAGTTGCTTTCCGTTAGCAAGTCCGCTGACTACCTTCTTGTGATCACTTGGACCAAATCCAATCAATGAAGTTCCAGTGTCCCAAATAGTTGAGGTATAGGTGAGATCAAGGTCGTGTCCTGCAACAGTGAAGGAATCGAAGTCGGCACTCCAGTAGATGAGTTCTCTAGTTCCTGGCAACTTTGAAAGTGGGATATAGGTTACATCAGATGTATCAGCTTCGTTAGCTCCGAAGTCAATGTAGGATTGCTCGTCTTGCTTTCCAATGTAGGTAGTGAATTCTCTCTTGTTGATGACACCATCTTCGTGAAGTCTGTCAACGAAAAGCTCTTCTCCACCGGTAGAAACTGGGGTGAGTCCGATAATTCCATCAGCCTTGGTGCCTTCCATATCCTTAGATTTATCAGCTGGAATGAATCTGAGATGAGTTGATCCCTCAGTGCCCATGTAGAATTCATCATAAGAGATTGGTCCGGAAGCGAATCCTTTACCATAGCTCAAGTCTTTCCTTTGTCCGGTGGTCTCGAAGGAAGTGGATTTGGAGGAGTCAAATCTGTTCTCTCCTGGGCAGTTGTCGCATCCCTTAGCAGATACCCAAGCCCATCCTGATCCGGTATCGAGGACGAAGTTATAAGAATCAGCATTGCTTCCTACTTCAACAGCTCCATAGTATTGAAGGTCCTCAAAGTTCTCAAGTGGGATAGATGGATGATCGGTCAAGACCAGGTTATCCAAATTTGTGGTCATTGGGACATCATTAGAACTTCTCAAAAGCTCGGCATGACTAATAGTCTTGATATTGCCCTTAGCGAAGGACTCCTTCAGATGAGTGACCATCTTCTTCTCAGTGTTAGTCTTAGTGAGCTCAATTCTGGCAGCGAAAGCGCTGACCAAAAGCATGGCTGCAATAATAGCAAATTTCATTTTTATTATTATTTACTTGATAGTCTATACTTTTATAGTATATAGGGGTTTTGGGGTTTTGGGGTTTTGGGGTTTTGGGG